AAAATGCCAAAAAGCTAAAAATGCGAATCGCCATAGAAAACATTTTGCAATTTATTCGCGATTCTCTCGCGCTTTTTCGCTCCGTCTCGCTTTCGCCTATAGAATATGCCATATCTGCTGGTCTCTTCTCTCTAAACTTTTTTTTTTTTTTGGCACATTTGCGGCTCCAGCGAGTCGCGAATTGTGCAGGAATTAGTCAGGAAATTAATTAATCAAAACTATAGCGAGAGCAACAACAGCAACAACAACAGCAACAATGAGTGCCAGCATCACGAGCAGTGCTCTAAATAAGGCATGCTCGATACACAGATACCCTGCACATTGTCCAGACATATAATGAACTGCATAGAAGCAGTCACATAAGTCAGTATAGGGTATGCCATAAGCTATATACCCATTCAATCTACATATGTGAATCGAGAGATTTATATAAATACAAATCTAGATCTTAAGCCACCTGTTCTGTTACATACATAGGCACACGTCGTGCACACCCCATGGCAGATATTTGATTTACAGGGTACAACGAGAACAACAGACAGAGCACAAAACAAATGACGATGCTCTACAATTTGTTGCCTGTCATTTGTTTAGTTTTGTCTCTGAGAGCCCCTAGCCTCCAGAGACGGCCCCTCCGTGGACAGCCGCCTCCCGCCCTAGCCCGAGAGTTTGCCCTGACCCAGGCAGCTTTTTATTATTGTTTAATTTGTTGCGCTCGTTGCGATGTTGTTGCTGTTGGCTTTGCTTTTGTTGTTGTCTGTTCGTGTAGCTCGGACTCCAGTTATGGTCATTGTAGCGCATTTGTCTGCCAGCCATAACCAAGCAGCCAGCCACCCACCCACCCACCCGGCACGCCCACAATTACCAGTGCTCCTCAGCCCACTTGAACCCCCTTTTGACTTGACTGGTCAGCCTTGAGCGGCGCTTAAAATGTTTTGATTATTGTTTCATTATATTTTTATTTCATTCTCATACCCTACACGCATTTTTAAACGGGTATGCCGGGCATAATGGGGTAAAAATGAAATAGATCGATTACAAACATTATCAAACTTTAGCTCTCTGAGTATATTTTGTACGTTTTTGAAGCTAAAGGTACCAAATTTTAAGCTCAATTGCACTGCAGTAGCAGATATGATGAATATTTGAGAAAAGACTGATATTTTTGAGCATGTACACATGTGCAACGGATAATTTGGAATCAATGTAGAAAATTTCATTGAAATCCGTTAGGAAATACCGAAGGTATAATAGAAACTGTTTGGTCAATTCGCTGCAAAGCTGCCAAAGCTGTGACGCCTTTACATTATCCCATCGCTAAGCGCGTACTCACATTTACTCTCACCTACACAGATGCATTCAAATGGGAACACTTTGTTTTTGGAATTCTATAAATAGAATTGAGTTTACATTTCAGCTGCTGTTGTAGCTTAACACTTAACAGTGGCTAAACAGTGGCGGAATGGCAGAGATGTTGATCGCGGTGCTTGAGTGCTCGGGTTCAGATGCAGGCGGGGACGGATTTATTTTTTTTTTCTGCAATTTTGTAATATTTTTATTTTGTTATTTATTTTTATTGTTTATTTATTTTTAATATTAAATTTAGAATTAATTTCATAATAATACGAAATATTAATATATGTATATATTTAATTGTTTAGGGCATATGCTAGTCCTGCATGCTCGACCAGAACATTTGCATTGGTTTCTTAATTCCATTTACCAATTTCTGTCCCGCGATAATTACAGTGAGCTAGCCGAAATGCCAAAATAAATTCAATAGCGAAAAAATTCAGAATTTGGGTTTACAAAAACTTGGCTTGTAATACCCTAGAAATATGGCATTTGTGTGACAGAGTTGTCGAGAGCGGTGCTGATGGATGGACAGGTTCAATGGGCGCAGCGTTGCCACCCGATGCGAACTGACAGCTGACAGATGTCAGATGCCATATGGCGGCATTTCCTTCAAATTGCTCGATAATCGAGCCCATTTAAATGCATTAAATGACTCCTTGACGGGCAGATCGAAGCCCCCCACACCTCACACCCAGTACCATACACCACACACATCCCTCCCCTGCCACACGTCTCAAGTGTCCTTAGCCAATGCACTTGCCAGCTCTGTGTGTGTGTGTGTGTGTGTGTGTGCATTGGAGCGTCAAGTGCCAAGGCAAACGTACAAAGACAACAGCTTACCACGTGGGTGTGTGTGTGTGGGGCTGGTGGGAGGTGCGGCGAAAGCATTTCACTTTTGAAGGAAGCTTGCGTGTGTGTGTGTGTGTGTGCTTCTGCATCGGACATATGGCAACAGCAGGCAGCAAAGATTTCTTGCACAAACACAAATTGCAAATTTGTAAGAGAACCGAAAAAGAAAAAATCGAAACAAATAACATGAATATTAAAGACGAATTCAAAATATCCTAACCATCTCCATGCAACATTGTCACAATTTATTTAAAACGGATTTCTGTTTGTCTTCTTTTTGCAATTAATTTTTTTATTATAATATAATTTATAATTTTATCTTGTACTATTTTTATTTATTTCTTTTTAAATGCATAAATATTATATTATTATTTAAGTTAATAAAATAAAAAATTAAATAATAAAATATTATACATATAAATGAAAAGAAGAGAATAAATACATTTTATGAAAAAATATATAAAATTTTAAATAAAAATTAAAAATATTAAAAAATGTAAGTAGAAAATATAATAAATATTATGAAAAAAGTTACATAATAATATTAAATAAAAATTAAAATTAAAAAATAAATAAATAAAATAAGTAAAATGAAATGACTCAAATTTCTTAAGAGTTAAAAAATATTGCAAATTTGTCGACAATTTCATTGAACGTTGCTCAAAGCAAAATTTTGAATCAACCAGGGAATTATAATTGTTGATGATGTTTAGATAACAAAATTACATTTTATAATTTATAGGAGGCAAAACATTAATTGCGTGCAAAGAAATTCTACGAATTAACGAGTATGGAAATCAAATGAATTAACGAATGACTCGACGGCACTGAAAATAAAATGTAAAAAATAAATAGGTAAATTAAATATAGATAATAATAAGAGTGAAAATCGTATGAAATTATTGATTTGCTTGCTTGGCCTCAAAGAGCAAAGACCCAAGCGAGGAGCCTGAGCATGAAAATGTGAGCGTAGTAGCAAGCATATGTGAAATAGGTTGGGTGTTACCGACTGCAGCATACCCATTCAAGTGTCAGCCAGATCCCTTTACCGAGTTGCCACGCCTACATGCATACATATACCCGCCATATCTTTAAGGCCTTCGGGCTGTCGAGCCAAATTTTAAATTTCGAATTTCAAGTCTCCCCCAGTGGCATCGGGATAGGCTTGACACTTGATAATTCTAGGGTATACACGAGTATATGTTCTCAATTGCTAGTGTCTAGCCTCAATAGCTGCGAAATGAGACATATAGACGGAAGGACAGACGGACGGAGAGCAATATGGACATTGCACAAAACCAATATACTCCTTTCCCAAACATGAATGAGCATAGATATATGGTGTGCGCGTGTGTGTGTGTGTGTGTGTAGCCAATTTATCGTTGCATTTGCCAACTGGCGGTGAAATTTGTAGCTCGCTTTGATCTTGACGCATTTTTTGACACTTTGCGGGGCATTTTGTCGATTTTGCTCGGTTTTTGGTTTTTTGGTTTTTGGTTTTTGCTTTTGATTTTTTTTTTTTTTCGATTTTCGATGAATTTTTGGCTTTTATTTTTATGAGCGGTTTCTTGTACTATTTGGCGTGAATAAGCGGCATGTGCCGCGCATTTTTCATTTCATTTTTGCTCTTCTCTAAAATGTTTTCATTTCTTTTTAAGAAAAAAGCGATTTTTCTCACATTTCGGCGCATTAGTCAGCCTGCAGCAGCAGCAACAGCAGCAGCAGCCGCACCAGTCGTTGCAAGTGTCGAGCGTTGATGGCTCAAATCGCATTTTATTTTTAGGCAATTCGAATAGCGCAATTGTGTTCAACACATGTTCGAGATTTTTCCAACTCTCGACGCCCCGCTGCGAATTGAACTGGGAGCTGTGTTATTCCGAACGAATTAGTGACATGATTTTGCCTAAACAATTAACATTTATGTCAGTCGAACGGGCATGCGTGCGCAGATATGCCCGATTGACCCATAAACAAGCTGAAGTTATAATCTGTTTGGAAACTGAACTAAGGCTAAGGCTGAACTAAGATAGTGTAATACAAACCTTATATGTAGTTTGAATCACTCTTTCCTCTCCCTATACACACACGCATTCTAAATTTATGAATTGGTTGGAAACCTGACTACTAAGGAGCACATAATTATAAGACAGTCTTATAAGATAAACTTATGCATATGTACTCTTAAGAGTCTTCTGCCGTCTGTCTGCTGATTGACTGCTCTGTTTATTTCTATTCCCCCTCCCAACATACTATGTAGACTTATAAGAGCGTTTTTGCTGACTGACCCAATGTTTGCATGGTGTTTCTGCTCTAACAAAAGCTGAAGCTAAGGGCTGCGTTTGGTGGTTTGAAACTTGACTAAGCAGCGCATAAATATAACAATTATTTTTTATTAACATAGCACATATAATATGCACAAGTATAAGTGGCTGTCATGAGACAGCGTATGCAAAGCTCTCATATAAAATTACACATATATTAATTAAATGCTAAAATTTACTGATAAATGGTCTCTCTCCCCAATCCACAGTGGTTGAAAGCTTGACTAAGCTGCGCATTCTGTGGGTGTATAAGCTGATGTTATATTAACATCAAATGCAAATGCAAATGTGTGGCTCCCCAGCAAGCATTTGGAAGACTGTTTTAACAGAAATCGTCTTGATGAGTCTTCTTTGAGTCCCCTTGACGATTAAAAAACGACTAATCTCCCGGGCGATCGAAAGAAGACTCATAAATGACCCATCCATATGCTCAAAGTATGATTACTTTAAAATACAAAAACGAAATGAAAAGCAATCGCCAAATGAGCATGCAGGTGATTAAAATATGATCATTGCTTGGTTTTGCTTTGTTCCTATGCAATCATATTCTGCTCGCTTGGCTGATCGAAAATCGATTCTTATCTAAGCTTATATCTAAGTTAAACGGTACTTTTTCTTAAGCACAAGCCGAAATGTGCAAATTTTGTCATTCGAGCGTGAAAGTGCAAGTGAAGTGCAAGTGCGAAGTGTATACAAATAAATTATATCAATTATATCAAATACAAATAAAAAGGTGATTATGTCAGTCAAACAATTACGTCGAGTGGCCAAAAGAGAAGCTTATAAACTATTATTTTGTTAGAGCTGCGATCAAAAAAGTTTTTTCGGACAAGGTAGCTTCCGAATACAGCTGGAAGGGGACCAAAATTAAACCATCAGCAGAAAGGTGTTACATTATAGCCGTAATAAAAAGTATGCATTATTTTGGAAAATATTTATAATATTTTTTATTAATTAATATTTTCCCATTTAGATATTGCTAATGAAAAATTTACATGCACGGATAAGGATTTAAATACGGTGCTACAAAAGCATTTTGTCCATGCCAATGACAAACTGGCAAAGCGTAGGCGCTTAGAATAATATAAAACATACTTTCTATTTCTGTTACTATTTTTGTTATTTTTTGTTTTGAATTTCTATATTTTGTTTTGTATCAATTAACTTTTTTTTTGCTGTTATTTTTTAAGAAAATATATATATATTAAATTAAATTTATATCAAGAAAAAAATTCTTTTCATTGCAAATTATTGAAAATTTCAATCGAATATGAGTCAAAAAATGATTAAATTATGACTCGTGGAAGACTCTTTTTTGATTAAAAGATGATTCGTGGAAGACACTTTTATGATTAAAAGATGACTCGTGGAAGACTATTTTATGATTAAAAATAAGAGTCATAAGCGACTCATCAAGAAGAGTCGCGGGTAGGGTACCATTTTCTCCCGACAGAACAGTCTTTTATGATCAGAAAATAAGCGCACATATGACTGTTTTCAATCATCGCGCGAGTCTTTTAAGACTAACTTATGCTCTGTTAAACGCAAAAATGCTTGCTGGGTCTTCTATTAGTGCTGGGAAAAGATCGATCTTTACGTAGATCGATATTTCGATATTATGTATGGGTCTCAGATCGATGTATCGATATTTTCATAAACATATTTTAGCTCCCAAAATTAAAAAAAAAGTTTTCATATAAAAAACAAAAGATGAATTTCTTATTAAAATTAAAAAACGTTTCATATAAACTAAACTAAACTATGTAACAAAGATTATATTATTTAATAAGATCATTTACTTCGTCCAATCATTTTTGTTTATGAAGAGCAGCATATCTACTTGCTGCGGCTTGAGACAAGCCTCTCCATTTTCCTTATCCGCGTCGCAATCTACAAACAAATGCGTGTTTGTTACATTATTTTAAAACGCAAAAGCTGCAGACCACGTGTGTGGCTGACATAAGCAGTAAAATAATATTTACCTTCGCCATTGTCCTTGCTGTTTAAAAACTTATCCATTTCTCTACAACACTACCAACACCAAAATCCTAAATGAAAAGTGGGTTACGTTAGTATTTGAATTATATTGTTAAAATAATTTGCAAATTACCTGACAGTCTTATCCCACGCTTTTAATTCAAGTGATGGGGAATTAATGGTATAGTGATGGCGATATATCAAGTATCGAAGTTTTCTACATCGATATTTTCGATGGATATGAAACATCGATATATCGTTTGCTAGATCGATCTTTTTCCCAGCACTGTCTTCTATGTATAAAATTCTGTAAATAACAGTATGAGCTGATTCTGCACACAAGCTGCACTCTGCAATGGCTTGAAACTTGACTAAAGCACGCATAATGTGGCTGTTATATTAAGACACTGACCTAACTCTACTACACATGTGCCGAAGATCTTATATAAGAGTTTGTGCATATCATACATACATATGTATACAACAGCTTATATAAGAGTTTGTACAGAGCTCTTTTATTTGGTGATCAACCCAAACGCATTTCCAAGGCTGTAAATCAAAAGTATAAGACTTCAGCTAACATATGATGGATCTGACCTAACTCTACTACACATGTGCCGAAGATCTCATATAAGAATTTGTGCATATCATACATACATATGTATATAACAGCTTATATAAGAGTTTGTACAGAGCTTTTTTATTTGGTTATCAAACCAAACGCATTTCCAAGGCTGTAAATCAAAAGTATAAGACTTCAGTTAACATATGCTGGATCTATTCTATAAAAATATCTAAATTTATATACATCATATCATATATCATATATGTATGTACGCAGTGAGTGTTTGTGAAATGTTTTCATTTCGATTTCAAACCAATTATGAAATATTTCAAGTTCGTTGTCGCGTATTGTTTTTCACTTGCTTTGCCCTTGCCCTCCAAAGTGGCGTATAAATTATGGCACGCAACCAGATCGGTTCAATTTATAATGCCGCACAGATTAGCGACACACGGCCGCAGACAGACAGACACCCTGCCTCGCCCAGCTCCCTCGCCGCACTGTCTTTCTCTCTCTCTCTCGAATTGGCAGCTGGCCAAAGGGGTCCAGGCCCACGCACTTGACTCTTGGCGCACGCACGCATCTGTGTCACAGGAGAGAGCGAGAGAGCCTTCCCTGCCCCGCCTCTCCCTCGCTCTTTATAAATATATGTTTGTATAGTGCGTCAGCAGCACGGAAGTATCCCACGTCCCATCGTTTTTATACCCTGAACCCATTGAAAATGGGAAATCAGGGTATAATGGTTTTGTTAAAAGTATGTAACAGGCAGAAGGAGGCGTGGCACACCCCACAAAGTATATATATTCTTGATCAGGGCGACGAGCTGAGTCGATTTGGCCCTGTCCGTCTGTCTGTCCGTCCGTCCGTCCGTCCGTCCGTCCGTCCGTCCGTCCGTCCGTCCGTCCGTCCGTCCGTCCGTCCGTCCGTCCGTATGTATGAACGCGTCGATCTCAGAAGATATAATAGCTAGAGACTTGAAATTTTTTTTCCTAGGTTCGTGTATATCACGCGCATATCAAGTTTTTCTTTATATATCGATAACTACTCCCGATATTTTATTATCGATTAAAAACCTTATCGAAAGCTAGTTATTTAATTATATCTCCTACACCTTTAGAGCTAGAGCTTCCAAATTTTATATGTAGACTTATATGTATTTAATATAATTTCGATTTTTGATGTAATTTACCTCCCACCCCTATATTCACCCCCTCACCCTCACCTTTGTAAATGGCGTATTTTAAGTACTAGAGACGTGTGCTTTAGAATGTGCACACATTTTTACCATATGATTACGCTCTGAAACTTTCATTAAGATTGTACGTCTAGAAATTAAATTATTCAACAAATAAATTCTTATAATGTTGCCCACACTGCAGCGCAGCCCAAGCGCAGTCGCTGCTTACTGCGCAGTTAGCAGAGCGCGTTCTACTACGTGCGTGTGTATGTATGAGTGCCGAAAATAAGTGCAGACTGATTAGAATATCAGATTAGAGGGTTCAGGGTATCTCCTAGTCGAGCAGTCTCGACTAGAGTCTTCTTACTTGTTTGATTTATGCCTCGTTTTGCCAAAGTCAACAAATGGAAATGACATTCGCTTTTTTTATTTAATTTTTTAATTTTTAATTCTTAATTTGTTTTTACTTACTTATCGCCGCAGTCTTTTCGCATTCAAGGCTGCTTTCGCCCATCGCAACTCTCGTCTGGCAAACGTATGAAAATAAATACATGAAAATGCATGTATATTTCAAAAACATTATAATAATAAAGATTTAACAATATGAATAGGAATGAATTTTCATTAAAAAAAAAAAAAAAAAAAAAAAAAAAAAAAAAAAACATAAGAGGAAAAATGTATGTGCATACATATTTAAAAAAAAAAAAGATAAATAAATAAAAAAATATATATATATATATATATATATTTAGCGTCTTACTTACTAATTTCCAACAATTTCGAAATTATTATATAATCATTAAAGATAAAAGTTTCATTTTACATAAAAAATAAATAAATAAATAATAATAATAAATAGTATGAAATACAAATTTATAAAAATATATTTGAATTAATTAATATATTATTATATATTTTAAACTATTAATAACATTAATAAAACAAATAAAATTAAAAAAAAAATCGAAAAAGATTTTAAAATTGTTTCTCAGACTTTTGGCACCGGAAGTCTAGAAATGAAATTCAACGACATTTACCGGCTTCCTGCGGAGAAGAAACTCTTAATATCCCCCTTACAATGTATATTTGTATACACTGGCACGCTCATTTTGCAATTGATGAACAAACGGCGCGTGGCGATGGGGTTAAGCAAAGTAGTGTGGGGTGGTGGAGAGTGTGAATTGGCGAAGGAAGAGGAGAGGAATATGATAGAAGTGTAAACACAACTCTTCGCTAAACATACACCTTAACAGTCTATACTCTCTCATAGCCCCAAACATCTCACAACAAAACTCGGGTGGGATTTGAACTCGAAGCTATACAGCCGCGCTAACATGTCTGTATAAATATGACATTGGCACTATACACGCAGTCTAACGTTCAGCACCAAAGTCAGCTTCAGGTTTGAGGCAACAACTGCAGTAGCTCATTCAACAAATGCTGTTTGAGGTTGTGGTTCGAACCCCAGCGTACACAAGTCAAATGGTTCATTATCAAATATTTTAATTTATGTAGTATTTTGTTTCATTATTTTTTTTTTTAATTTTTTACAGCAAATCAGTCCATTTTTATTATCAAAATAATTACAGATAAGTTAAATTGACTAGTTTGTTTATTAATGAGGCACAACTGGCGACAGCTGTGCGTCACTTTGTATGTTTGCCCTTAGAGCGCCATCTATGTCTTATAAATGCCAAATGTGCCCAGTGCTGCCAGCTTTTCTAAAGCAAGCTAACACATAGATGGCGCTGTAAAACTGTTATACCCGCGCCAAACACCAAATTCAAATGCAAAATTCAAATTTATGTTTGAAAAATAATAATAATAGAGTATAGGAAATGTCAAAACAATAATACAAATATCATGCGACGTATTTGTCCGCCACATGCTTGTAAGCGCTCAGCATATTTTAGCCATTTTTACTGTGCATTTACTGGGTGTTTGTTCTGTTCTCCATGAAATAAAACTAATTTTTATGTGTTTAATTAAATTTCATTTATTTTCTTCAAACTTTCATATATATATTTATCATTTATATTTGATGTGTTTGCTTGTTGTTACTGTTTTTAATTGATAAAAAAGATAAGAATGCAACATTCGGCTAATTTGGTTTTCCGATTTCCGTTTCTCTGTTGCCTGATTCAGTCTCTGAATCAAATGATATATGGTATTAATTTAATGGATGTGTTTTTCTCAATTTCTTTCACACTCACGGAATAGCTGAAAGAACTGTTTTGAAATATTTCAAGAGATGAGCGAAGAATTTGTGAAGTCTAAATTTTAACTATTTAACATTATTGTAGAATCCATAAGCCGACGATTTTCGAAGATGAATCAGATTGATCGATAAGTTTAAAAATCGCTAAAGATTAATATTCGTGAGGACACAAAATACAATTTTATGAATATATTTAACTAGGCTTAGAGATCGACAATAATACAAAATGCAAATAGAGGAAAAGAAAAACTAGTTTAGATATCGATAACTATCGATCGATAAATATGAATTAAGGAAGATGCAGATAGTGGTGTATACATTAATAATTATCGACACCATTTGAAGTAGGCAGAAGCAGTAGTATATCGATATAATCGATAAATCGTAAATGCTGACATTTCTTGCAGCAAAAACATGTAACTATGCGTTGCTTATTGACGTATCCCATATATATGTATTCATATATACATACATGCATACACACCATACATACATACACACCATACATACATACACATATTTTCAATTCGACTCAGGACTCGCGCTGAGTTCACTCGATTCGCCTTTGGGTGCAATGAAAAATGCGTTGATCGATGATCGATTCTAATTTGATTCAATTTAATTTCATTTAATTTGAGTTTTAATTTCTCTGAACTACATTTTACATTTTGGACACATTTTAATAATTACAAAAAAATAATAATAATAATAATAATAATATTATTTACTTTAATACTAATTTTGTGCAAAAAAAAAAAAAAAAAAAGATTTCGTTTTCTTTTCGTTTTTGCTTAAATAATAAAAAGCCTTGATTTGTTCTTCCTCCTCCTCTTCCGCCCTTGCCACGCCTGCGTCTGGTGCATTTGCAATCGATTCGAAAACTAAATTAAATCACATTTAGCATATTTTTGTTTTTGTTTTTTCTCTCTTTTATGTGTAACTTTTGCTTAAATTTACTTTTTTGCTTTTTCTTTTTCGATTCCTTTTTTTTTTTTTTTTTGAATAATTTAATATTTACATGATGTCAAAAAAAAAAAAATTAAATTTATTAATAATATTTTTATGTGTATTTGTTAGATGAATGTATTTTTTTTTTATTATTTTGTCTTTTTTTGTTTTTAATTTTTTTTTTAGTTGTTGCGTTTCTTAGGTATATGAAAAAAATTTGTTATCGAGTTAAATATATCGATATACATATGTATATATATAGATTTAATTAAATTATTTAGATTTATGCTTAGAAAATTAACATTGCCGTCTGCTCCTGCTCCTCCTCCTGCTGCTCAATAAATATTTCTCGCTCTCGCTCTCCCTCTCCTTCTCCTTCTCCCTTTTTCGCTTTCTCTCTCGCCGTTTCTCGCTTTAGAACAAGACATCGATGTACATATTTCATCTGCTGCCGCCCTCGATGCCACCTGCCCCGCCCACCGCGCCGCCGCCGCCGCCACCGCCGCTCAGGTGCTCCTGCTTGACCTTGAGCAGCAGCTGCTGATGCGCCAGCGTCTGCGCCTCGTCCTCGTCGTCGCAGATGTCGATTTCGCCATCGGCGTCCGCATCCCCATCGACATCCGCATCGTTGTCAGCCTCCGCATCCACATCCGCATCGACATCCGCGTCGCAGTCCTTCTCCATGTCCTCGTCCTCGTCGATCTCCTCGTCCGGCTCCGACTCGGCCACAGCAACGGCAGCAACAGCAGCAGCGGCCGCCGCATTGCGAGCGTTCGCGGCAGCAGCAACGGCCGCAGCAGCAGCCGCCGCCACAGCCGCCTCGGCATAGCCAGCGGTGCCATGGTGGTGCATATGCATCGCATGCTGCACCACCGCCGCCTGCTGCTGCTGCTGCTGCTGCTCAGCCAGCTGCTGCTGCTGTTGCTGCTGTTGCTGCTGCTGCTGTTGCTGCTGCTGTTGCTGCTGCTGCTGCTGCAGCTGCTGCAGATGGTGCAGATGCTGCTGCTGGTTGTATGGGTGGTGCTGCTGCCCAGTGGCTGCTGCGGCGGCCGCTGCCGCCTGCCCATGGTGATGATGGTGATGGTGCATGCCCGCGTGCATTGCTGCTGCGGCGGCGGCAGCGGCTGCCGCATCGCCGTGGTGCTGGTGGGCCGCGGCGGCGGCCGCTGCAGCCGCGTTCGCCGCTGCGATGTGGGCGTGTGCGTGGGCATGGGCGTGCGCATGGGCAGCGGCCGCATGGGCGTGGGCATGGGCGTGCTTCGACTGCTTGTTGCCGCCCGCTGACGGCGGCGGCGGCGCATCGAACAGCAGACGCGATATCGAGAAGCTGGAGATGGGCGAGTTGTGGGTGCTGCCCGCCGAGTAGGAGGTGTTCGTATCATCCGAGGTGGGCGTCTCCCTGTCGCTCTCGTCGCTCTTCAGCAGCTCGGCGGCCTCCAGCGACTTCTTGTGCATGCCCAGCAGCCAGGGCGCCACGGACTCGTCCTCCTTGGCCGACTTGATGATTGTCTCCGGCAGCGGCAGCGAGTGCCTCACCATCGCCCCGTACAGCCCATACTCGGCCATCTTTGTGCTGTGGCCCCAGCACTTCTCGGTCTTGCGCCACTTGGCCCGACGGTTCTGGTACCACACCTGCAATAACCAGAGAGAGAAGAGCAAAGAGAATTTATTAGCAAGCGGATTCTCCAGTGTGTGAAAGAGATGCAAGACTATAGCTTGAAACATACGAGATTTATCGAGTTGATTTAGGTATGAGCTAGGTTAAGAGCCACGGCTGAGAATGGATTTTAAGTTAATGCGTCAATCAGTCAATCAATCGATCAATTATTTGGTTTGTCTGATAAAGACTTTCAGTCAGTTAATCAGTCTGTCAATGAACTAGCTAGTCAATTAGTCAATCCATCAGTCAATCGGTCAATCATGCATCAATCAGTGTGAGTTAATCAATTAGCTAGTCAATCACTGTCAATCAATCAGTCATGTATTTAATTTGCTAGTCATTTAGCTCGTCAATTACATACAGTTTGTCAATCAATTCAGTCGGTCAACCACATAGTAGCTCAATCACAGTCAGTCAACCAGTCATCCAAACAATTAGGCCGTTTAACAGTTACGCATAGTCAACTCATCCATCTAGCAGCATATCAATCACAGTCAGCCAATCAATTGATTATGAAGTCAGTCAATCAGTGAGTACTTCAATCTTTCAGCCAGTCAATCAATCTATTAATCAGTCAGTAACAAGTGTCGATGCTCAGCTCAAATCATAAGTCAATAAGCTGTTTAATCAGTCATTACCTAACCACAAGGCATTTCAATCACAGTCAATCAGTAGAGAGTAGTTCATCAATCACATTGAAACAGTTAAGTAGTCAACCAATTAAAGTCACTTAAGCAATCTTGTAGAACATCAATCAGAGTCCCTCAATCAATTGTTCTGGTAGTCTATCAATCACAGTCAGTCAATCAGTCAATTAGTCAGTCTATGGCAAATCAATAATAACCATTAGAGCAGTTCAGTCCGTTGGTTACCTATCCAACTTTGACTCAATCAATCAGTCAGTCTGTCCTTCAATCATTCCCAGCCAATCCTTTCTGGGATTAGCCCAACTCTTAGCCAAACAAATAGCAAAAATTTCATTAGCGCAAATGCGATAATTAAGCATAAATAGCAAGAGCTAAGCCGCTCTCACAAATGCTGATATATATGTATATACTTTATATATACACACACACACACACACACACACATACATACAATGAGGCACTCAACTACAACTCGCTCGCTCGCTGACTAAAGTGCAGCAAAGCAGCCAAAACTAATTAAATTAAATGTAACAACAACTAGAACAACATCTATTAGCTCTCAAGGGCTGCCAGGGGAGGCGGCTGGGTAGTTAGAGGGGTAGGGGGCAGGGGGCGTGGCAGTGTCTATTTTGTTGTTTGTTTGCGCGCAACTGTAACGAGGCCTCCAGCCTGAGTCTGAGCCGCTGCCACTTGTCACGCAGCAGCTCGCTCAGCCCTCGCTGGGGCGTGGCACCAGCAGTAACACGCGCTGATTTTATTCACTCTGCTCCTGCTGCTGCTGCTGCTCCTGCTCAAGTACTTATTAGTGCCACGAAATGTTGCAAGCAGCTTTGCTTTCGTTTTGCTTTGCTGCTGTTAAACGGTCAATTTTCAATTTTCACAGACAACTTGTAAAGTGGGCGTGTGTGTGTGTGTATGTGTGAGCTGTGTGTGTGTGTGCCCCTTGGGACAACTTAATCTTCTGTTGTGAAATGTTCAAGCTTTCCCAGGGTAGATAGCAACGCTCTAACTCTTGTACACACTCTCTCTCTCTCTCTCTCCATCCCCCTCCAGCCCCCTCTCTCTGTCTGTGTCCTGCTGCAATTCTCTGTGGACCATAAAAATAGAAGTCGACGGCGGTCGCATTAAATCCGCCTGCCACGCGGCTCGCTGTCTAACCAAAAGCGAGGGTATTCCTATTTCAATTGCTACAGTTGTTGTTGTTGCTGTTGTTGTTGTTGTTGTTGCTGTTGGTGTGATGTCAACATTTGCATTTACAGTTGTTTAGCCGTGTTTGCCGGCTGCACTTGAGAGTTCGGGCAGCAGCGACAAACATGGCAAATTAAATCTGCTTGAGTTGACAACACTTAACACCAAACCGAACCCAAACTGAGCCCAGCCAACCAACCCCACCGCCCGCCGCCCTCTGCCTGTGGGCGGGGTGGAACTCAATCAGTGTGGCTAATGCGTTGATAAATGTCTTTTTAAAATGCGCCTAGTTCGTGCAACTTGTTTTTGTGTTGCCACAATGTAAAAAAAAGGAGAACTGGGCGGGGGGCGGGGTTGGTCGATTGGTAATGATATAATGCGTTTGGGATTGGGACAAATGCTAACAAGTGCGGCAAGCTTTTTATTTAATCATCTGTTAGTTTTGCCATGCAATGAGATACCCTGTAAAGGGCGCAGCTGGGGTCGCTTGAAATGAAACTGGGCAGGGGCAAAGGAAATGAATGGAAATGAGCTTTACTTAAACTATTCTATTTACTGATTGAATTAATTGTATTAAACTATTTGTAATATCCTGTAATTTATGCACATGTATATATGCATATGCATACTTCAAGAGAGTTTCACACACTTTTTGTGCAATTATAGCCTACATATATATTTCGAATCTTGTCTATAAACATATTTCACATATTCGAAGCAATTACGCAGTATCTGTTAGTCGCGCTAACTGAGAGGGACAACAAATAAGGGAATGCAAATAGCCATTTGTGTAATGCTTTTGTTTCACAGCCATAACCTCCTTTGTTTAAATGTTAATTACATAATTATGCATAATCATTTTTAGCACACACTATTTCGCGCAGTGTATGTGCGAGAGGGTGTGTATTAACAGCTCATTAAAAACGCAGCGAAAATGCAAAAATTACGGGACGGACAGTGTAAAGTGTATAATTAATGTGCAAACGCGGCTGAGCACTGCAAATTATGCAAAAAATCTACAACAACAGCAGAAATAGGAGCAAAAAATAAAAAGAAAAGAAAATACAAAAATTATAATGAAATGTAAAACATTTGTAACACTTTTGATTGGAAAGGGGCGACAGCATTTGGTTATGGAAAGCCAGCAGCAGCAGCAGCCAAATGAAGGGAAAGCCAATGCAAATGTGAAATGAGAGAGCGAGCTTTGCTCTCTTATCGATCACAACAGATCGATAACTGCTTGAACAGCTCTTTTCTTAATCAATAGAGCTACAAGAAGTGCGTGCTTCTCAGTGTGCGTGTGTGTGTGTGTGTATTAGAGTAGGCGAAATTGTTGGTGCTTGAGCGATTTGTTTTGAGAGTTGCCTCATTGTGCCTCAGCTGGGCAATTGCAACAGGCGGTTGAGTGCATGGCTGAATGCAATTTGCGGCTTTAATGCATTTGCAATTTGTTTGCATTGTTGTATTTTTTTTTTTTTTTTTTTTTTGGTTTTGGTTTTAATGTTTTTCATACGCTTCTGCTAAAGTGTACTTAAAACTGTGGACGAGAGCGTGTTGAAATTAGCAAAAAGAAACAATGAGCCAGCCAGTCAGCTAGCCAACCAGCCAGCAACGGCACAAATGGAGCAGTCGAACGGAACTGAGTCACTGAGCCTGAGAGCCAATTGCAGAGTATGTGTGCGTGTGTGTGTGTGTGTGTGTGAAACAATGATGTGGTGTCATGCATCTGCCATCCTTGTCGTGCCATCCATTTCGTACACACACGCTGACACTAGGCGAGTGAGCAGGCGACGAGCGAGGCGCAGCCGAACTGAGCGCTGCACCCGACAAAGTGGCTAATCGACGCTGCAAAGCTCATTAGCGGCAGTTAGCTAAAAACATTCTCGCCACTATTGTCGCCTGTCAGTTTCGTTCACTTTTGACAGCGCGCAAATTTCGTTAATTCCCGTTACACACAGGCAGAGGCCAGCCGGCCATTGCCGAAACGTGGGCCAGACAGAGAGAGGCTGAGTGCGAGAGAGCAATGAGAGAGGCGAGAGATTGCATGCGGGCGAGCGAGAAAGCATGCTTCGCTCGGCCATGCTTCTTGCTTTTTTACAGCTATGTGCAAAAATAAGCTGACAGCGACACAGAAAGGCAGAAAAAGAAAACAACAGCAACAGCAACAGCAACAACGAGAACAAGCACAGGGGCGAAAATGCACACACGCATAGTGAGAGTGGCAGCGGAACGCACATACAAAATGGAATGCAATTAAAAACGGCAGGCAAAAAAACAAAAACAATCCACAACGACAACAAGAACGAGAACGAGAACGAACGCCGCGAAAGCGAAGCGAACTTTTAATGGTGGCTTCGATTTGTTGTTGTTGCTGTTGTTGCTGCTGCAGTTGTCTGCATGTATTTGCATGGCTGCCATTGTCGACATTGTGAGCCGCGCCTCCCTCCCGCCTCGCCGTCACAGCAGCCCCTTCAAAATTGCACTCATCGTCAGTCGCATTTCGCATTCGTATCCTTGGCTCTTGTCGTCGTGTCGTCGCGCTGTTGCTAATGATTGCCTCGCCGCTGAGTGCCAAAGACCCAAAAATCCCCTCTCTCTCGCTCTTCCTATCTTTCGGCTCTCTCTCTCCCTCACTCTCCTCGCTCGCACACATTGTGCTTGCAGCGGCAGTCACTCAACAATCTCCCGTTGCCATTCCCGAACGCTTTTTTTTTTCAAGCTGTGCGCAGACTGCGCCATATTTGCACTTAATTGAAGTGCGTATGTGTGTGTGAGTGAGTGTGCATGTGTGTGTGTATGTGCTTCATGTTACTTGCGCGCGTATTACGTATTATTTTTTAAGCCAATTGTGCTTGTTAATTTGATTTGCGCATACAAACACAGGCACACACACACACACACTGACACACACAAAGCAATGCACTCACTCTACAGGCGAAAAAGTGAACGTCAGCCATTTGGCCACTGACTTGTTGGGCTTTCATTTGATGCTTCTGCTGCTGCTGCTGAGTGCTGCATGCGTCCCCCTCCTTCTCCTGCTTTTCCTCTGTCACTTCTTTTATCATTGCCCTGTTCGCCCGCCCAGCCCCCAAGTTTGCCTCGCCCCTTAAGTGGGCCTCACAAGCAGCCGCAGCCGCAGCAGCAGCAACAGCTACCATTACCCCCCCTCTAACTTAACGAAGTCGCCTCGCTTGGCGCCATCTTGCGGCTTATCAAGGGGCCCAAAATGTATGTGGAGAAGGCAGGACGAGCGCGAGAGAGAGGGAGATGGCATGCAACTTTAGATTAGAACTTAAACTAATAAAGAGATTTGTATTATTATTATTATTATCATATTATTATTTATTTCTATTATTTTAATTTTAGTTTTATTTCATTATCATTATTATTATTATTCTTTTTCATTAATATATTTTGGCTATTGAATATGACTTGATATTCTTATAACTGAACCACAATCGAGTAATTTACTTCATAAGTTCTGTAAAGGCTTCTAAATAGAATTAAGATGTGCATATAGAGATTATTTCTGATATGATATGTATGTAGATTATCTTTGTGGGCAAACATGTGTGGATTATCTTTATAGAATCTGCAGTCTGTAATTAAATTCTATTCGAATTGGAATGTAGATTCGTAATACTATATACATTTGAAAGTAAAACTCTTCTGAGAAGAGTGTGCCTTGAGTACTTTTGTATATGGATATGGACAATCTTGAATGGCTCTCCCCCTCTTCCTCTCTCTCCCTATTTACAAACATATGTATATGCATATATACAAGATTCTTAACTGCCTTTCAAGCAACCCTTTTGAAGAGGCTGCCGAGCCGCAATTACTCGCGTTGCAAGCTCATCGCAAGTGTTGCAAAGTGAAAGTGTTGCAAGGAGCCTGAAGTTGTGGGGTTTCTGTTCGTTCGCACTTCGCTCGATCGCTGTCGCATTTTTCCAATTTGCGAATACTTTTGATGCATTTGGAGTGTCGACGGGTGCCGATGGCCACGTTTTCTTACTTCATTTCGAATTGTTCGCGCGAGTGTGTGTGCACTCGTAATTATGTAATCAGTGTGCCTCATTATGTGTCCCGCTCTCTCCCTCTCTCTCTCTCTCTCTCTCTCTCTCTCTCTCTCCTCTCTCTCACTCACGCGCTCGTCTCACTGTTGCCACACTGGCAACAAATCGAAGCAGCAGCTGCCTCTGATTGCTCACAGCCGTGTCTCCGGCCGTAAAATGAATAACAGCACAGAAACCAGAACTAGAACCAGAATTTTACGAGCGCCCATCAAATCGAACGCCATTGGCGCCAATCACACGTGCCACGTGCCGCACTGCAGCTGCAACGTGCTACGTGCTACATGCTACCTGCCCAGCTCTCTCACCTGTATACGATCCTCGGCCAGTCCCGTTTTCATGGACAGCAGCTCCCGTGCACTGACATCCGGATAGTGGGCCTCCTTGAAGGCCTTCTCCAGCTCCTCCAGCTGGCTGCTGGTGAATATGGTGCGTCCGTGTCGTCGCTTGTTCTTCTTCTTGCCGCCGGGTCCGCTGCCGCCGGGGCCGACGAGCACGTCGCCGCCGCCATGGCCAGCGAGCAGGCCATTCGGATTGGCCGCCGCGCCAGCTGCGGCGCCCAGGAAGGCTGCCTCATGCCCGTGATGCACATGACCGTGGCCATGGCCATGCCCATGTACGTGGGCGTGGGCGTGCACATGATGCGCCGCATGAGCGTGATGCGCATGATGAGCGGCCGCTGCGGCAGCGGCATGATGGTGTGCCGCTGCTGCAGCCGCTGCCGCATGCTGATGGGCGGCCAAAGCGGCATGATGATGCGGCTGCTGCTGCTGCTGCTGTTGCTGCTGCTGCTGTTGCTGCTGCTGCTGCTGCTGCAGCGCATTCGATGTGGTGGAGGAGGATGTGGCGCTCGAAGCGGAGCTAGCTATGGCAGCATTGCTGTTGTTGTTGTTGTTGCTGCTGCTGCTGCTATTGTTGTTGTTGTTGCTGCTGCTAGCGCTGCTATTGCCATTCGCCTGGCCATTGCTGTGACCCGCGGACAGCTCGACGGCAGCAACAGCAGCAGCATTCGATTTACTAGGCGACTGCTCATCGCCGCTGGCATTGGCCAAGCTGTTGGCATACTCCTGACCACGTGCGGCCGCTTGTTCTGCAAGAGAAGTGCAAGAGGAAGAAGCAGAAGAGAAGCAAAGAGTTAGCGATAAGTAAGATAGATTGCATGCAGCTAGAAGACATTCCGAACACATGTTTAATCACACAATCGCAATTCACAAGCCACAATAAACACGCCAATGGCAATGGCAATGGCAATGCCAATGCTAATGCCAATGCCAATGCCAATCCCATTTCCTTTAAATGCTTGACAATAGAGCATGTCATACGAGCATACGAGCGCTCATCCTGGCTTCAATAGAAAAATGAAAGAGAAACTATGTGTGTGTGTGTGCGTGTGTGTGTGTGTGTGTGTATCTGGAGACTATTCCTTGGCAGCTAGATTTTTTGCACACGATATGCGACAGCTGGAAAATTGTTCCATGCTCGCTTGCCTCTCATTCAAAGGCGCGCAGATTTTGACAAGTTGCCAGGATTTATTCAAATGTCAGCGAAGGGTTAAGCGCACGTCCTCGTGTCCTTTTGCCTCTCCCTCTCCCGCTCCCCCCTGCTCTAGCTCTCTTGTTGGGCTTCTTAGAAAATGTTGCCACAAAATATTTTCTTTAGCCAGTTTTGTTTTTGGCTTTTCATGCTGCTCAAGGGAAACGCTAAGGGCGCAACTGCAATCGGGTCTAGCGAATCATCAAGATGGTTTCATGTTTTCTCTTTCGCTCCACTCTCACTCCCTCCCTCTCTCTCTCTCTCTCTCTCTCTATCGCTCTATCGCTCTCAATGTGTGTTGTGTTTCGTGTGCGCTTTGTTTTGACAATTAGGGTGTTAGGGTGTTAAGTGGTTTAGCCCTTTTTTCGTCTTTCTTTCGTTTTAGGTCTCAAATTAAACGGGAATCGGCTTAGGCGTGTCGCACGGGGCGTTCTATTGTGATAACATATATACATACATCGACACACACACACATACACATGCTCTCTGGCAATGTTGGTCTCACTTTTCACCATCAGCGAAATTAGTTTCCGGGCCACTCGACTCAATTGCTGGCGACTTATCTCAACTAAACTTTGGCCAACAATTGAAATGATTCTAATAATATCTTAAAGTTCTTAAATTACTAAGCCTTATATAGATATAGATGTAGAAGAGATATCTATTGATTATTAGCTATGGGTCTAGAGACTAGAGACTAGAGACTAGAGACTAGAGACTAGAGACTAGAGACTAGAGACTAGAGACTAGAGACTAGAGACTAGAGACTAGAGACTAGAGACTAGAGACTAGAGACTAGAGACTAGAGACTAGAGACTAGAGACTAGAGACTAGAGACTAGAGACTAGAGACTAGAGACTAGAGACTAGAGACTAGAGACTAGAGACTAGAGACTAGAGACTAGAGACTAGAGACTAGAGACTAGAGACTAGAGACTAGAGACTAGAGACTAGAGACTAGAGACTAGAGACTAGAGACTAGAGACTAGAGACTAGAGACTAGAGACTAGAGACTAGAGACTAGAGACTAGAGACTAGAGACTAGAGACTAGAGACTAGAGACTAGAGACTAGAGACTAGAGACTAGAGACTAGAGACTAAAGACTAGAGACTAGAGACTAGAGACTAGAGACTAGAGACTAGAGACTAGAGACTAGAGACTAGAGACTAGAGACTAGAGACTAGAGACTAGAGACTAGAGACTAGAGACTAGAGACTAGACTCTAGACACTAGACACTAGAGTCTAGAGACTAGAGACTAGAGATTAGAGGCTAAAGACTAGAGAATTTAAGCTTCAGACTTGAGACTTGAGACTAGGACCTAGAACAGTCTAGATCAGTCTAGATGATCACTCATCTCAGCTGTTGGCAATATTCTCTAGCTTGTATAGATTCATAATCTCACTAAACTGTTAGCTATGTAGTTTGGCTTTAAAGGATTATACAGATTTTTCTTCCAGCTGATGTATCTGAGATATAGAGCTAAATCCTGGCAAAGTCTACGTTTTATAAATTCTATATATTATACTAGATATACATATTGGAGTTTTTAGCTCGTATCAGTAGCTCATTTCACTTAAAAACAACTATATCGACTCAATAGCTGCTATATATTATAGCATTCCGAAACAGTTTCAGTAAATATATAGATAGCCAAATTGTAAGCGAAATTTCATTAGGTTCAAGTAGTTCAGCTCAGAAGATCATATATGCAAATATATATATATATATATTCTCCATTAAAGCACAACTTTACTAAAAATATTATAATAAGCTACACAAGGCTTTAAAAAAAATGAGGCAAAAAAAATAAAAAAAATTAAATAAAATAGTTTGTCTAGCGCTCAAGGGGGGCCTCGAGGCTGCGAGAACTTTGCTCAGTTGTAGTCAATGTTGTTGTTGCTGTTGTTGTTGCTTGTTGCTATTGTAGCTGCTGTTGTTGCTGTTGTCAGGCGGCTGTGATTGTTTTTTATTGCCTGGCTACTTTGGCGGGCACAATTAGACACACATCAATTAACAATTAGCTAAACGACAGCTGCCCAATGTCCAGTTGTTGTTGGCCCCGCACACACGCACACACACACACACACACACACACACACACATACTTATAAATAGCTGAGCAATAATAATGCCTCCGCCCACTTGTTGAGCATGGCATGGAGGGTGTGCATGTGTGTCCATGTCTATGTGTGTGTGTGTGTGTGTGTGTGACCAGCACAGACGCGAGACCAGCCTAGTTGAGGAGGGTCTGCTTTGCACGGTTAGCCACTTTGGTCAGCTATCGATGTCGGCTGCTGTTCGCCTTGTTGAGTCTTGTTCGCGACCTGTCCCGTCCGCTCGCTCCCTCCCGCTCGTTCTCTCGCATTCTGCAGCTGTCTCTCTCTCTCTCTCTCTCCCTCTGGGCGACTAATTCAATTTGCTGCTGTTGCTGCTGCTGTTGTTCGGTCTGCCGTTTGCTCAATGAATCGGCGCCATGAGTTGCTTGATTTTCTGTCATGCGATATTTTTTTGCGGTATCCCCTTGCGGCTTTTGCCCCTCTCCCACTCACAATCTATACCTCTCTCTCTTTCTCTTCCTGTGCATTTACTGCTTTGTTGGCTTTCCTTTCACTTCATTTTCATTTCCATTTTCATTTTCCGCCTAAATTAATTTGATATTGAAGTTCGCATCTTTTTCGCTCAACGATTGTAATCTATACCTAGCTGCAGACAGTCCGTCTCCTGCCTCCCTCTCTCTCACTCTCTCTCTCTCTCTCTCTGTGCATTCCTGCCAGTTCGTCCTGTCCAGTTTTGGCCACTTCAGTGGCTCCTTTGTGCGTTAATTAAATGTTCAATTAAGCAATTTTCCTGCTGCCGTAGCTGGCTTTGTTCTACTCGGTTATCGATATCTTTCTCCCTACTTTATGAATTTACATTAACTGCCTGACCCATGGGCGTCTATAATGGGATAATTTGCCAATTTGTTTTGGGGGAGGGGGGAGCGGCAGGATGGAGTGTTGGGGTTGGGGCTGTATGTGTGGCATTCTTAGGAAACTATTTACTCTTAAATTGTATCGATAATTGCTTCCTTAAGTGTCAAGCATAGAGTTGATAGATCTGTTTTACGAGCGAATCCTTGACATCGCATTAATTTAAATGTTTATATGGAAGCTCAAAAATTTCTATGATTACTAAACGTTATATCCAAGTAAATTTCCTATTGCTATCTATAACTATCTAAATCTAGCATATTATCGATTTCGATTAATAATTCATAAAGTGAACAAGATTGATGCAAAGTCTTTTCTTTACTGCTTTAATTGTGTTACTCATTGTAATAAATGCTTGCTATCGATATTTATCGATCAATCAAACTTTGCATTTTGGATGCATACCGATAACAATTTACATACCCTCATCGATACCTACGCAATACACACAATGCTATGCTCAGCCTCATTTCTTATCCGTATATCGATACATATCGATAAATTGATTATGTTATATATATAAATATATATATACAATCTATTGCTCATTTGTTCATATTTCACATTCAAAGATTCTTACCATTCAGTCCAATTGCCTATCGATAATTATCGATATTGGCAATTTTGTATGCTTAGCACTCAATGTATAGAATCTGTCGCTCACTACTCAATTACACTTAAGAGTAGCTAGCTAAGCCAGCACATTCGCTTGTTATTTTGTTATTGGCCTTGCTACTCGCATTTGTCAGTCAGGCGGAAAGCGAGGCCCACACCCCCAGCACACCGTCTGTACACCCCATTGTACAGCCACTTCAGACGGCAGCTTAGCTAAGCTGGCAATGTGCCACAAAGTTGCGCCTAGTTGCGACTCGTTTAGAGATGACGACGACGACGACGACGACGAAATGTAAAATTACCAATAAAGTCAAATTGAAATTGCCAGACATATTAATAAAAGCCACGACCAGAAAGGCGCTGCTTGGCGCTCGCGGGTGGGCGTGGCTGGGGAGGAGTGTTGCGTAGACAACGCGATTTAACAAATGGGCCGCGCGGGTGCCACAAACCCCCCCAAATAAAAGAAAAAGAAACGAAAAAAAGAAAAGAAAAACGTAAACTAGACCAAACTCGACGGGAGGTAGAGTCAGAGCCAAAGCAAGAAAATAAAATAAAAGCGCGAATTTCACTTGGCAATGCTCAGCGAGGATATTTTTGCTTTTAATTTTATATCGCTGAATACCTTGAGGGGGTGGCTAGGGCTGGCTTAGGGAGGCGGGAGGGAGAATGACGGCGAACGGTGCTGCAAAGTGGTAGAAGGAAATTTCTGTTGACAGGAAATACACTCGAAATTGGCAATTTTGCATTTACGTTAATAATACTCGAGCGTATTTACTACTTACATTTAGTAGGGGTAGTGCTAGGGGTTGACGGGAAGAGGTGTGTGTGTGTGTGTGTGCGTGGGCGTTGCCAAGCTGCTATCTAGGCGAAAAATGGGGCCACATTTGTAGCAGCTCCAGCACCAGTTCTTGGCTTGGCGTATTTCTTAGCTAGGCGTGGGCTGCGGGGGTAGGGGCAGTGGCAGGGGCTGT